TATAGCCCTGCGTCATCAGGGGTTCCTTATGCCAACCCTAAAGGAATAGGATACCCAGGTAACCAGAGATGAGCTCTGACTCACTTGCATGCAATCGATAGGAAGTGTCTGGAGTTTTCACACCATACACAATTAGGTTCCAGCACAGTGTCTTTGCTGTTATTGTTAATTGCTGTGTTGTTGTTTTTTCCTCTTGCACAGTGGGATTTCCTGTGGGTTATGCAGCGGCAGCTCCAGCATATTCCCCCGGCATGTACCCTGGCGCTAATCCAGCCTTTCCCACAGGTAAAGGAAGCCCAAACTCTCTCTTTTTCCTGTGTTTTTCAGTTTCCAAGAAGCCAAAACAGAGATTTTGTTACATAGATCTTCTTCGCTCAGCCAAAAAATATATCCAGAGGTTTTTGATTTGTAACATGTTTTAAGAAGCTAGAAAGTGCAGTTCTTGGATTACAGCTCACATTGTTTATTTTTCTTCAACATTTTTGTGCCTGAACTCATCAGTATGTCTTAAAGGCATAGTCCACCCAAAAATGACAATTCTGACATCATTTACTTGCCCTCAAGTCGTACCAAAACTGTATGACATTTGTTTTCTTCTGCAGAACATAATAGAAGATATTTTGAAGAATGTTGGTAACCAAACATTTTCAGTTCCTATTTACTTCCATTGTATTTTTAGTCCATACTCTGGAAGTCAGTTTGATTGCCAACATTCTTCAAAATATCTTTCTTTGTGTTCCACAGAAGAAAGTGTGTCATACAGGTTTTGAGTGACATGAAGGTGAGTAAATGATGACAGGATTTTCATTTTTGGATTTATATTCCTATAAAGCCAACTTGACATGACATCAATTACCTATTTTGCCTTTGAAGTCTTACATATTTCCAGATAAAACTAGATGTTCTAGATGGTCAATATAGGGTTTATCCAGCCATTTTTTTCCACAAGGTCAATTTTGATGTGATGCTCACTTTTTTAGACGCATTGCTGTTGCTAGCAAATTAGATTATTTCTTAATTTTCTTCAAATATAATGTCATCTCTACAGGTTATGCTCCCGGGACCCCTTTCAAAATGTCCTGCTCTCCAACAACAGGTGCTGTACCCCCCTATTCCTCTTCACCCAACCCCTACCCTGCTGCAGTCTACCCCGTGAGAAGTCCCTACCCCCAACAGAACCCCTATGCACAGGTAAAGCAACATAAAACTGGAGGTTATGAACCGTAAATAATGTCACACCTGCATTTTGTTAAAATATTGGATGTTTTTTTCCATAGCAGCAAGGCACTTACTACACACAGCCCCTTTACGCAGCACCGCCGCATGTCATTCATCATACAACGGTGGTCCAGCCCAATGGCATGCCAGCGGCCATGTATGCTCCTCCCCTTCCCCCGCCCCGCCCTAATGGAGTCGCCATGGGCATGGTAGGAGGCACCACCATGGCGATGTCAGCTGGTGAGTCTCATCCAAATAATCCACTGAAATGTATACAGTAAAGAGGAAATAGTAAAAATGCATTTTTTTTCTCCTCAGGGACATTATTAACTACTCACTCTCCGACCCCAGTCGCGACCCACCCTTCAATGCCCACGTACCGCTCGCCTGCCACTCCCACCTACAGTTACGTGCCCACGCAGTGGTGAACGCGACACTGTAAGTGCAAATGGTTTAAAATTGTCTTTATGCATCGCTACGCTTTTGACAGTAGAATTTTTTTTTTCGTTAAATTTTGGCTCATTTTCTTGGGCAAAATCCAGTCATTTTAATAAGAATCTACGCAATTAATGAAAGATTTCCCCATGCTGATTTCACATCAGGTTCTGTTGGTCAAGCAAATATGCTCCATTGATCATCAGAAAGATGCTTGGTTTGAAAGTGACTTCATGCATCACTACACTATGTGACCGCATCTTTACTGTCTTTATACTCACAAAATAGTCTGATTTTGTTGGTCCCTGCGTGAAATAATTGTCTTTTTGTTGTCTTCAGGTCAAAAGATGGTAGATATGCATTCTCACTGTCCAGTATTTTTGCAATTGGAGCTGCCACTACAAGTGTTATCAGCCAGTTGCTCTTCCTTCCAAACATAATGTGAATCCGACTCCAGTTGGCAGACGAAAGGAAAGAGTATCTTCCCAGTCCGGCTCCATTACTACTTCCCATCCTTCACTCATTCTACAACATATCTCACGGCTGAAGACCAGACAAGCTCCTCATGCTGAATTGTGTTGTGTGGACTGTCTTGCAGTTTTTAGCTAACTCTTTAATTGGTGAAACCGGAAGGGAGTTAGAATTAGTTTTATTGGAATACCTATTGAATGCATGTATATATTTAAAAGAGGAAAAAAGAAAGAAACAAAAAAACAGCGCTAGCTCATTCTACCAGCTATGACAGATGCAAAACCATCAGCAGTTATCTCAAGCAAAAATCCAAAGGGATGGGGAAAAACAACTGTATATTAAATGCAATGTCTTAATTGTTATTTCATACAAAATATTAATAACGTTAGCATTTAAAAAGCAACATTTTTGTTATTTTTCCTGGTTTTAATTTGGGTATTTGTAGCTCCAGGCATGGTTCATCTTCTCTGGGTGACGGTGTGTTTGTTGCTGCCGTGCCCTGATGGGAAGACGGGCCCTTAGGGTTTGTGCCTCCGCTTCATATGCCTGTTTTTAGTTGATAAGTTTTTATCACTCTTCATGCTCTCGCTGCAGTTAATTGTTGCACTAATTGCCTGTGTGTGTACATAAATTGGTTGATTGAGCTGTATTGGTGCTGAGAGCATGCTAACTCATTTGTGTACCTCTGGTTTGGTTTTCTTAACTTTTAAAAGTCTGACCGAAAGATTAACATTGAAATCGCAGCGAGCTGCGAAATTTTAAATAGTAAATTGTTGATGTGGTAAAAAAAAGAAAAGAAAACTCAATTGAGTTGATTTGATAACACTACTGGTTACATTTGAGGAGGTGAATTTGAGTTGTTTAGTTATTATTGACCCAAACATCGCTTGTTACCTCAAAATTACACCGTAACTGACTGAATTCTATTGTCTTTTTACTTTATACATTGCCTATGTCACTTCGGTTAAAGAATGTTTTGTAATGTTTAATGTGTTTTTGTTTTGTATTTTCAAGAAAGACCAAAAAATAAATATAATAACAAATAGGAGTTTTCTGGTTTCATTTTTGATATACATCGGTTAAGGACACTGTCTTAACTTTAGGTTCCAGCAGTCATGGAAAACCATTTTCAAATGTTTTTTTTTCAGTGTTTACTAACAAATCCGTCTGAAATTTTAAGCATTTAAAAAATAATCTAGTAATCATAAATGGAGAGGTCATGGAACTTGAGATAATTGCTGTAAGTGCAAGAAATGACAAAAACCTATGCCACAATGTCTTTTTTTTTTACTGATTTAAAAGTTATATAGGCTTACATATATGTAAGTACATTATTGATTACCTGTCTGATTAAATTTTCATGATTACAGTGACAGCCACATAAATTCTATTCCAACTTCAATCACTGGATGTCGCCAAATGCCGAATAATTTCTTTGACCTAACCATAGATGTTGTTTATGAATACATCATATAATAACAGTTAAAATAACAGTTTAATTTCCTAAAATCGTAGTATGCCTACAGGTAATATAGTTTTCATACCGCGCGCGAGTCAGTTAAGCGCTCGCTCGCGCTCATTAGTAAATTGACCGTTACAAATCTAATGTTAACCGCTCGCCTCATCGTGTACTCGACGACTGTACTCGGTCAAATTACATTTTAAACACCTCTCTCCTAAAAAAGTAAGGTAAGAAATTGGTTAAAACGGCAATATTAGTGCCCACATTCAACGAATACGTTAACTTTGCTGTCCCTTGAGTTCTTTTAAAGCATTTAGATCACATTTCGTATTTGTTGTTGTGAGAAAGCTAATAATATTATTGAAAAACAATATTCCCACACACAATTTGCTTTGAATCTCGCTGCTTGTTTTTAACAAAAGATTATTATAATACAGTATATGCATAATAAGATACAATATACATATTATTATTATATTATTATTGTTAAAAAAGAGTGTATGGCGGATTTTATTATTATTTTTAATCTCTTTAGTGTAAAGCAGTATGGATGCAGGTGATGCAAGTCAACCAATCACTCAGTCTGCAGAATATGAACAGGTAAAGTTTACTAGCTACTGGCTGTCTTTACTGCTAATATTTATGAGATGAAATGGGTCAAAAATATACTTCCTCTGGTCACAGTGGTTCCCATTAAAACTCAGTTGATCATTTATAGTAGTGCACAGTGTCCTCTGAACAGCTTCAGTGATTTGTACAATAATGTGGTGCCTCAGGGTGACTGAGTTAAGACTGTGTGGGTTCAGACGTGTGTGCTCTGGTCGCACATGTAGGTGGCAGGTGGAAAAAAAGCGTAGGAATGACCTTGTGTGCTTCGTAAAATCGTGTGTGTGTGTGTGTGTGATCTAAACCTCACTGATTACTGTAGAATTCATCACAAGATCATCAAAAGGTCTTCCTTGTATATGTAGGCTAACCCTATGTATCAGGTGGGTTTAGAAATCAGGGATATATATAAATGTAGGCCTACTCACCCCCTGGCCATCCAATGTGTATAGATAAGTTTATTCAAAAGAACTGGAGAAATTTAGCTTGTCATCACTTGCTCACCAATGGATCCTCTGCAGTGAATGGGTGCCGTCAGAATGAGAGCCCAAACAGCTGATAAAAACATCACAATAATCTATAGATCACATTTCGTATTTGTTGTTGTGAGAAAGCTAATAATATTATTGAAAAACAATATTCCCACACACAATTTGCTTTGAATCTCGCTGCTTGTTGTTACAAAAGATTATTATAATACAGTACATGCATAATAAGATACAATATACATATTATTATATTATTATTATTAAAAAAGAGTGTATGACGGATTTTATTATTATTTTTAATCTCTTTAGTGTAAAGCAGTATGGATGCAGGTGATGCAAGTCAACCAATCACTCAGTCTGCAGAATATGAACAGGTAAAGTTTACTAGCTACTGGCTGTCTTTACTGCTAATATTTATGAGATGAAATGGGTCAAAAATATACTTCCTCTGGTCACAGTGGTTCCCATTAAAACTCAGTTGATCATTTATAGTAGTGCACAGTGTCCTCTGAACAGCTTCAGTGATTTGTACAATAATGTGGTGCCTCAGGGTGACTGAGTTAAGACTGTGTGGGTTCAGACGTGTGTGCTCTGGTCGCACATGTAGGTGGCAGGTGGAAAAAAAGCGTAGGAATGACATTGTGTGCTTCGTAAAATCGTGTGTGTGTGTGTGTGATCTAAACCTCACTGATTACTGTAGAATTCATCACAAGATCATCAAAAGGTCTTCCTTGTATATGTAGGCTAACCCTATGTATCAGGTGGGTTTAGAAATCAGGGATATATGAGAGCCCAAACAGCTGATAAAAACATCACAATAATCTACAACACAACTCAAGTCAGTGGATTTGTTTCTTACAAACACACAGCTTTTCACTTCAAAGGATGTTAATTGATGGACTGGAGTCGTGTGGATTTCTTGTGGATTATTGTGATGTTTTTATCAGCTGGTTGGACTCTCATTTTGACAGCACCCATTCACTGCAGAGGATCCATTGGTGAGCAAGTGATGTCAAGCTAAATTTCTCCAGTTCTTTTGAATAAACTTATCTATACACCTTGGATGGCCAGGGGGTGAGTAGGCCTACATTTCCATATATCCCTGATTTCTAAACCCACCTGATACATAGGGTTAGCCTATTCCTATATTATCCATTGGTGAGCAAGTGATGCTAAATTTCAAACTCATCTACATCTTGGATGACCTGAGGGTAAATACATTTTCAGCAAAACTTCTTTTTTTTGGTGAGCTATTCTCGTAATAATCAAAACCTGTCTTTTGATTTTTCCTCAGGCACAATTAATAATTTGCAAAGAGGAGAACACAAAAGGGGTTCTACCTGACTCTTCAACCAGTACACATCTTGGTGACTCTCCAAACGATGAAGATGCAAAACAGAAGTTGGCTGTTGAGACATCCGCAAGAAATATTTTCAACAATAACAATGCAGGACCTTTCAGTGAGATGTTTCAAATACATATTTCACATGTACTGTGGCCTCAAAAACTATTTAGATGCTTGTGCATGCTCAAGTCATTCTTAAAAATGTATAAATGCCATTGCATTCTAAAATAATATATCAAACCAAATAGCATCCCCACATAAATGATACTAAACTAACATTACTTTTCTGAGCCTTTTTTGACTTTTTAATCAGCTGGTTATCTGTGATTTTTTAAGCAATTTTGCCTTGAGTTTTACTGGCGTTTTACAATAAGGTGTTCAAATACTTTTTGTGTAATTTTGAACAATATATCTATTGTTTTGTCATTTAAAGCTTAGCAAACAACTTTTTGTGAAATAATTTTTGAGGCCACTGTAGGTGAAACCAAACTTTATAAACATTATTGTCTCTGACAGATCATAAGTATGATGCGCACAGGCTTCTCCTCATATGACTTTTGTTTTATTACTCTAAAGTCTCTGTCAACCAGAGTGGCGGTGTCCAGTTTATCCCCTGCCAGCAGAGATATGATACTTTCACTTCCTGGCCTGGGTCTCCCATAATGCAGTATGCTGTCCACTCCAGCAATGGCACTTACATTGTATCTGAAGATAAGGGCCAAGGTAAGGACATCACCATTTGAGTCATTCATTTGGATTATACTCTCATTTGAAATAATACTATATAAAAGTACATTTTAAAATCCACATGTTAAATAAACATTAAACTCGTAGACGAAAAAATAAACACATGGGGGATTCTCATTTGAACATGTCTTGGCCACTTTTTGCCCCAAAATAAGACATTAGAACCATTAGGATTATTTTAGTTTGCATTTGACATTGTTTTCATGATAATTACATAGTAATGAGATTTTTGTTCATTGCAGTAAAGGAATTCTGGTGAAGAAAATGCAAAATGCATGAAATGCCAATTAAAAAAAAATCTTAATGTTCCTAAAAAATAGTCTTCATTTTATATACATATATATATATATATATATATATATACAGTGCCGTGAAAAGGCTTTTGCCCCCTTCGTGTTTTTACATTTTCTGCATATTATTAAATTCAAGTTTAATTGTATAGCGCTTTTTACGATACAAATCGTTGCAAAGCAACTTTACAGCA